GGATAGCACTAAAAGAATTATTAATAAAATTCATTCTTGAAGCTTCACCAACAGCTGTCTGCCCTTCATCATATGTAGCTGATTGAACTATATTATTATTATTGTCACGTATCCTCCATCTTAAAGTATCATCAGGAGCAGCAGTATCTCCACTACACACAAGTAGAGTTATTACATTTATACAAAAATCAGTAATGTTGCACCCAGTCAACTGTGTTGAACCTGGATTTAAACTTATAAAATGTTACAAACGTACTGCAACTTACCATTAACTAATAATATGAGACAAAGGAGGAGGAAAGATAGAAGTGCTGTTTTCATTTATAATGGCTCGAGCAAGTTTCCAATCCCTTTCATTTACTCTATTATCCCTATGTCAAGACTCGAGTTCGAGTGGTTACTTTAGCCACGCCTAATCAGCTTTAATAGCTAGTCTCCCGCGCCCGATCGTAAAGATGAAACTTGTTTTTCTATCCTTCTTTCTTCTGTGTTCTCTCATATTATTAGTAATGGTTAGTTTTTATTGTTGTAGTACCTTTGTATATACTTGTTATAAATCCAGGTGCAACACAGTTGACTGGGTGCAGCACTACTGATTTTTGTATAAATATACAAACTCTACTTGTGTGTAGTGGAGATACTGCTGCTCCTGATGATACTTTAAGATGGAGGATACGTGACAATAATAATAGTATATTAGTTCAATCAGTTACATATGATGAAGGGCAGACAACTATTGGTGTAGCTTCAAGAAAAGGTATTATTAATCAGTTTAGTGCTATCCTCACTTCTAGTGCTGGCCCTATGAGGTCTAATATAACATTTAATCCTAATGAGGCTATTGATAATTACACCGTTCAGTGTACTGTTGATACAACAGTCAGTTGTCGTATAATGATACCAGGTATGTTGAATAGATTTTGTCTTATTTAAGGTAAGCATGTCTATTTTTGTAGATGTTCCTGCTCGATTTGAAATTAATGAATTTGATGTCACCTCCACTTATGTTAACTTCTCCTGGCCAATATCAACCCATCCTTGTTTTGAGGAGTATCGATTATTAACTACAAGTCCAAATAATCCTAATACTTTAGAGCGAATTTTTGATCGTTCAATTACTAGTCTTCTCCTACCTATATCTCAGCTTAATGATACAGAATATTCATATGGTATATATGTTTCTGATACTGGTAGTAGGTATATAGACCCTCAGTTAACGAAAATGCTTACACCCAATGGTAAGTTTAGAAATTAATATTTTATTTTAAAATTATTTTTAGTTCCTTTATCTGTTGCTAATCTGGCGTTAATGCAAACTGATTATCCAACTGATACTAATGAAACTGTTAACATCACTGTATCATGGAATGAAGTAAGTAAATCATTATTAATTAATAATAATGATATCAATTTTATGATTATTTAAAGCAACAATCATCTCGCCCTCCTGCAACTCAATATAATATTCAGAGTAACATTTCTAATAAAATTCAGAATAAATCAACTAATGTTACTTCACTAACTCTGTCTGGTTTTTCAGTTGGTTTAGTATATACTGTTTCAGTGGAAGCTGTTAATGTATTAGGAACTGGTACTGTTACATCAGCTACAATAAGTTAGTTATTTTAAATATAAATAATTACAATTATAATATGTACTTTAGCTATACTTGCTACACCACCACCACCACCTGAAATACCTTCAACTAGTACATCTGTGTCTTCCTTTACTTCAGGCATTAGTGCAACTCCTAGTATGACTCCATCAAGCAGTATGTCTCCATCAAGCAGTATGACTCCATCAAGCAGTATGACTCCATCAAACAGTATGACTCCATCAAGCAGTATGTCTCCATCAAACAGTATCACTCCATCAAACACTCCTACTCAAGAACCATCACCACGTATGTACACATAACTGTGCTCAATATTAATTATTGATTATTTATAGTTAGTGCTGGTGCTATTGCTGGTATAGTAATTGTCATCATTGGACTGGCACTGGCAGTTTCGGTTATATTAGCGATTGCTATTGTATGTTATGTTAAGAAAAAAAACGAAGACACAAAATCTTCTGTTCCTCCTCAAATGATTCAAGTAAATTTACACACGAACACACACACAAACAGCTGCCTAGCTAAACACCGTTTCTATTATCTATAGAGCTTAATATTATTGTAATTTGTTACACACAGTCATTATATTTTAAAAGGTTTACCTTTATAATGTGACAGTGTATTTTAATGTTATTTTTCTCAAGAGAATAAATTTAAAATAAGCCATTAACAGTTGCGCCTGCATACATGTACATGTACATACATTTTAAGATTTGTTTTTGTTAGGTGTTGTTTTAACCTTTTGTATAGTGTATTTTATGTTTATTGTGTTGTCTTTAACTTAATGGGAAGTTTGTAGTTTGTCAGGTATCATTATCTGCACAAATAATATAATATTGTGCTCATAATGAATGTGTGTGTGTGTACATGTGATGATGTTGTTTGTCATTATTTTGAACAATATTGTTACTATGACAATGAATTTTCAGCTGGTTTGGCAGGTGTTTGTGTCTGTGTGAATGCTTGCTTTTATATTATTTTATTGATCTTTCTCCTTTCTCTTTTTCCCTCTTCCTCTTTTTCTTTCTCTCTCTCTCTTCTCAAGGCTTATAACTATGCTCAAGTAGACTACTCTGCTAAATCATCTTCCTCTACAATACAAGCTCCTCCAAAACCAGCAAAAGCAATTTCACCTGAAGCTGATAATCAGGTTTTATATTCTGCCATTCAAAAATCGGTAGCATCTCATAACCCACCACCACCTCCAGAGGGTACTGAGTATGCTGATCTTGATCATAATTCTTCGTCGTCTGGTAGACGTCACCAGAGACCCAAGGACACCAGTAATCAAGTCACGTATTCTCATGTGACCCATCATCATGATAGACGCAGAGTGAGGGGAAGTAACCATGGAAACTATTATTAATTAATTACTGAACTACGTTGAACTAGTATAAACACACTGTCTTGTTTTGCCTTTTATGTGTTCTAATAATATGAGGATGATGTGTAGCGTATGCATGTATGCTCATGATGTCCATTTGTATGTTATGGTGCGCATTATGTATTATCATATGCTTAGTGTCAGCTGCCCTGTACTATACACTGCTATATCTTTGTCATTGATGGTATTAATGTGTACACATTTGTGTTATTCAACTAGAACAATGTGAAACATTAAGGGGCTCAGCCCCCCCCTCCCCCGAGCCACGCTATTGTTGTACTGTATGACCTTCCTTGCTGCTGGAGAAGTTTTTGGATAGCAGTTTAGTCTTTATCTTGCTGACTGTTTGCTCAATAAATGTATTTACACATTAATGTGCAATGATAAGTGTACTTTGCTAGATGTTTTGTGTTTATCTACTTTCTCTTTTATTTTTACAGTAACACTGACACACAACATGAAGATGAGGAACAACTAATTACAACAAGTACACATTGAGAAACAAAAAGTATATTAAAAAATTTTCAATTGTCAAAAAAGGTCAGAACTAAAAAACAATGCAAAATTTGAACAATGTAAAACAATTAAAAAATAAAATAATAAAATTTTAAGTGACTATAATCACATCATGCTAAATATAAAAACAAATTGAAATGAGTACATTAATTTCTCAATGGTCCATAAGCTGGATTACTTGTTAGTGGAACAGAACTGGTGGCTCCTCCTTTAGTAGTAGTGATCTCATCATACACAGCAACTGATGCTGTTGTTCCTCCCTCATCTCGTTTAACCTGTTCAACTAGTTCAACCTGTTCAACTGGTTTATTGGATCTGCTCCTAACACACAGCAGTGTCAGTATTAGTGTCAGTGTTGAAGACAGTATAGCTGTCAGTATAAATGTCACTGATACACTAACTGCAATAGGTAGAGTAGTACTGGAGGCAGGATTACAACCTAATGTACAGCAATGTATAGGAGTGACTATAGGACTATTATTACCTTCAGTAGCAGAAACACTAGGAGTAATTTGAGTAGTACTAGGAGTTGAGCTAATGCCTGAAGTAATGTATAGCAATGTATAGGAATGACTATAGTTATAAGAATCTATTGTTACCTTCAGTAACAGAAACACTTGGAGTAGTTTGAGTAGTACTTGGAGTTGATCTAATAATATTTGAAGTAAGGGAAGAAGTGAAATGAACTGTACTAGTTGAAGGTATTACAGGTGGTGGTGGTGTAGCAAGTATAGCTAAAGTACATATCATGTATACTTATATTTACAGTAAAATAATAACTAACTTATTGTAGCTGATGTAACAGTACCACTTCCTAATACATTAACAGCCTCCACTGAAACAGTATACACTAAACCAACTGAAAAACCAGACAGAGTTAGTGAAGTAACATTAGTTGATATATCCTGAATTTTATTAGAAATGTTACTCTGAATATTATATTGAGTTGCAGGAGGACGAGATGATTGTTGCTTTAAATAATAATAAAATTGATATCATTATTATTAATTAATAATGATTTACTGACTTTATTCCATGATACAGTGATGTTAACAGTATCATTAGTATCAGTAGGATAATCAGTTTGTGTTAACGTCAGATTAGCAACAGATAAAGGAACTAAAAATAATTTTAAAATAAAATATTAATTTCTAAACTTACCATTGGGTGTAAGCATTCTCGTTAACTGAGGTTCCATATACCTACCACCAGTATCAGTAGTATATATACCATATGAATATTCTGTATCATTAAGTTGAGATATAGGCAGGAGAATGCTAGTAATCGAACAATCAAAAATTCGCTCTACAGTATTAGGATTATTTGCACTTGTAGTTAATAATCGATACTCCTCAAAACAAGGATGGGTTGATATTGGTCAGGAGAAGTTAACATAAGTAGGAGTGACAACAAATCCATTAATTTCAAATCGAGCAGGAACACCTACAAAATAGACATGCTTACCTTANATAAGACAAATCTATTCAACATACCTGGTATCATTATACGACAACTGACTGTTGTATCAACAGTACACTGAACGGTGTAATTATCAACAGCCTTATTAGGATTAAATGTTATATTAGACCTCATAGGGCCAGCACTAGAAGTGAGGATAGCACTAAAAGAATTATTAATAAAATTT